GCCTGGTAATTCTTAGTTGTGGGACTATCCTGTGCATTATAGGGTGGTTAGCAGCATCCCATTCCTCTATCCATTGTTTCCAGCAGCACCTTTTCAACTAAAAATGCCTTCAGACATTGTCAAATATTCCTGGGGTGGGGTGGGGGTGGCAAAATTGTCCCTATTTGAGAACCACTGATTTAGAATGAGGCTGAAGAAAATACTTAGTTTAAAATGTGAATCAATTAATACAATTATTAAGGAAATAATAAAGCAGAGCCAAAATTATGAAAGTGGTTTGCAGATGCCTGGAGGTTGGGATGTATGCTCTGCACTGTGCTAGGATATCCAAACATTCATGTGGCTGAGATGAAGACATACACTAAGATAAAGGAATCGTCTGGCCTCTACTACCAACCCCATTTACCTTTTCATCTTCTCTCATACTGATTCTCTACTTGTACTCTGCTCTAGACAAACTGTCTTGAGTTTGTCCATTCAGAGGGCTCTGTTCCTGTTTCCCTTATCACCTGGAATGCCACCCCACCCCCATACCGCCATCAAGTTCAGCCCCATGGACCTTAAAGGATGAGTTCAAATCTTCAATAATCCAGATCAGAAGAAATTGCTCCCTCCTCTGAATAATTATTTATGACATTGACTGCACTCTATTGCTTACAGCTCAGTCCTTTGAGTTATCTCTTCAAATATTTCCCCTTTTGTCCTATATCCACACCCAGATGGGATGGGACTTTGCTTTATGGTTCTGTTTATTTTCCTAGTATTATATATCTTGGTCAATAAAAATATTTACTGTCTTGTTAGTTAGTTAAACATATGGTAAAACAATATGGGATCTCTGAAGGGATGTAAATAGCTTTAAAATAGCTCAATAACAAAATTATGTAGGAAAAAGTGTATGATGCATTTATTTCATGCACAAACTTTATTGACTACTTTGGAATTAATAGCACGAAGAATGCAATTTTTATTGCTGTAATTAAGGATGATGTCATGAAGAGAGATGCATGCTGATTAAGAAGTCATCTTCAATTAGTCACCTGACACTCTGTATGTTTCTGATTATGAGACTACAACACCTTTCTATAGTATGTGTTGTATTTCATGAGCATTTTCAGTGCTGGGTTCTAGGTATATATATGTATTACCATAAAACTTGTTATCCAAATTGGGACCCTTTGAGAGAAATCCAAGGAGGTCCACTATTAAAATTTTGCTAAGACAACAGGCATAAGCCAGGACTGTTCATCTTATAATTCTACTATAGACAACTCATCTATAGCTTAAAGAAGCAGCCTAAATCATAGACAAGGCTATAGTTCATCATTGTGTTTCCAATAATAAAAGTAGCCAAGTTTTTGAATTTCATCATAGTTTGTCCTCTTGGAACTCTTGCACACTGGCACTTAGAACCTCTATACAAACTTCATCTCCATTATCAACATGAAGCCAACCAGGAGGCCTGGGCACAGAGAATTCTGAACCCACTGCCCACACTGCACACAAGCAGCACTGCGTGTGACAATAAAGTGACAATATTGGATCCCTGAGTCTGCATTATGTCAGGCCTGCAGGAATATTTCATAAACATCCAAGCTGCAGCTTTTAGTGTTATTCTCTTAGCCTTATCCTTTCCATTTTCCTCAGAATTATTATGTTGATCAGGTCCAGTCTCAAAAGCCTTCACTCAAGTCCTTGAACCTGCTTTTGGTAAGGATATTCCAAAGGAAAAGTTTCTCTCACCAGTTGGTGAGATTTTGCTAGTTAAAAAAAAAATCCTGTGTGTGTTGGAGCAGGAACTCTCTATATTTTCCTCTCAATTTCATTATGAACCTAAGCTTGAACCTAAAATTTTGCTTTTTAAAATCCTGAATTCTGTAATCACTACTTCTGATGCACAGAACTTAGAAAATGAGTTAGCAACTTAGAGGATGGTTCTGAAATGAGCTCCTACAATAACTATGGCAAACATTTATTAAACATTCTTAGTTATGTGCCAGGCACTGTTTGATGCACTTTGTATCTGTGAACTCATTTGCTACTCACAGGACCCCATGGGGGAAGCACATTACTGTCATCTGCATTTTACAAAAAGTGGGGCACAGAGAAGTGTCATACTTGTCCAAGGTCACAAGGTTAGGGAGGACAGAACCAGGATTTGAGCCTCTGCTGCAGTTGTTTCAAAGCTGGTTGTTTTCAACTACCCCCAAAGCATACAGAATAACAAAAATGACAAACTGAATGGGTTGCTGATTTTACCTAAAGAGAATAAACAGAGTGGGTTATCTGCTCTGAGCACTACTCCCTGCTGTTGAGATCCCAGAGTACCCTGAGGCTCAGGTTAGGAAATTCTGCCGAGAGGTCCCCGTTGCATTAGAGACAATTTTTTAATTTTAATTTTAATTTTTTGAGTTGGAGTCTTACTCTGTTGCCCAGACTGGAGTGCAGTGGCATGCTCCCGGCTACCGCAGCCTCAACCTGCTGGGCTCAGACTTCCAAGTAGCTGGAACTACAAGCACACGCTACCACGCCTGGCTAGTTTTTGTTTTATTGTAAAGATGAGGTCTCGCCAAGTTGACGGGCGGGTCTTGAACCCGTGGGCTCAGGCAATTCACTCACCTCGGCCTCCCAAAGTGCTGGGATTACAGGCTAAGCCACTGAGCCAACAATTTTACTTTAATGAAGTCCTGGAGTTTTTGCCATCCCAGAAGATGAGTGGGTGCACGCTCTTCCCCTTGTTCTTTTTATAACAAGGTACTGTGAGGGTTTTGTAAACACTTTACAGTCACATCCCAATACCTATTCCAGGCCAAGACCCACCAAATCCTCAATCCCAACAGGCTACTACACTTGAAGGCAAAAATAAGCCCATTCTGTCTGTTGACTGTCCTCTCACAGAAATGCTTTATATAATGAAATAAAATGATTAAACAGAATATGGCAAGAGACCAAACAGAGAGGAGGAAACAGAAACCAGAGAAATAAGAAAACGATTCTCTGTGTTAAAAAATGATAATGGGTCAATTTTTAGGCCAGCCAGAGCTGCGAAGAAGATGCGTGTGTCCTTTTAGTCTTCCATCTCTGCCTGGGCTCAATCTGCATCTCTTTTTGAGCCTCTGAGATACAATTGTGTTTTTTAATTCCTGAGCTGGACAGACGTTCTTTTTTAGAACTCTTGACTAAACCCATGTTCCTGAGATGGGAGAGAAAATCCATTTGCACAATGGTGAGCCCATCTGCAATCTACTACTAACAGCTGTTTTTTGTGGCTCCGAATCAAGTTGGAGAAACCATCCTGGATCTCTGGAGCCATTTCATGCTTTTCAGGGCCTAACAAGACATCTCACTCTCCTTCAGCAAACATAAGCAGAAGCAAACCTGTACTGAGCTGGGCCTGTTCCCTTAGCATTTATGCAGACATGTGTATGACCCCCAAGCAGCAATATTTAAAATAAGAACCAGAAATGTGAGGATCAGAACCAAGTTTGTTCATAAATGTGTGCGCACACACACATACACACACATACACATACCCCTATCTGGCAACAAATCTACTTTAAAAATTACTTTTAATTGACAAATAAAAATTGTATGTATTTATGGTGTACGACATGATGTTTTGATTGTGGAATGGGTAAATCAAGCTAACTAATGTATGCATTACCTCACATATTTATCTGGTAACAAATCTAAAGCTCTTTTCTGGAAGTTTAAACTATTTTAACACACAGAGTCGGGACCATCATCATGACTACCAGGTTCATCACTAAAATGCTTTGGTACCGAAGTCTGAGTTTTCTTTCCCAATATGGAAGAAAATATAGAAAAATAAATAAATACTTAGATGAAACCTTTTTTTTTTTAGGTAACACGACTCTGAATGAAAAATACAGCAATAGCAAAGGAGTCTTTCTTCTCTTTCACTCTGATGTACCATGGGTGTGAGTTCTTTGAAAAGTAGACACAAAGAGTCTGGGGTTACAGTCAGGCCTGAGAGGTGCTATTTCTGTCCACACTCTGGGACGTCTACACCTTCAGAAAAGGGAACAGGCTTTAGGAGTCTCTGACAGAAATTTCATGCAGTGATTTCTGGTCCAGCTCTGAAATCAAAGAATGCTATTTGGTCATGCCCCATAAAACTTGAGCCAGCCCATTGTTCCTTGTCACAATCCTGAAATGTGTTGAAAAAAATTAATATTGCTACAAACACCACTTCTCTCCTCTGGCTAAATCACACCTCTCTTTTCACCCCCTGCTCCCTCTCTTCCAGTCCTATTGTGCCTTGGTAGGGAGGCCTTGTCTGACCTATAGGGACTGCATTTCAAGTCACTAAAGTGGTCTATTTATTATTGGTAAACCACACACGCCACTCCAAAAGTAGTTTCAGGCTCATAGGATTTTTGAACTGGACCTACTTCCATGGCCATGGAGTGAGTGGGTGAAGAATAGGTCTTGAGTACCAGGCACTGCTAATGTTTATCAGAGTTATTTACTCTTTCCATCAACTAGTATTGTCATCCTCGGTTGTCAAATTAAGAAACCGGGGTGCACGCAGAAAGATTAAGTGACGTGCCCAAGGCCACCTCAACTGTACACATCTCTTCCAGGCGCCTCTGACTGGGTTGGTTAAGGGCTGAAAGGACAGTGGGACAATAATTGAAGTCCGTTCTGCCCAGCACGTCCCCATCCCCCGTCCCTAGCTGAGAGGGGCCAGAAGCCGCTGCCTCCACATTCTTTCATTTCCTTCTGGCTCAGTGACTCACTGCCCTCCCACTTCTCTCCGGGGGCATGGCCCCAAATTTCGCACCCTTCGTCCTGGACTACAGGTGAGCCGGTCGGTCGGCCTGGACCCACTAGAACCCCGCAGCTGAGCTACCAACCGATCTCCTTCCTCTCAGACGACACCTGACTTTTACCCAGGCCCCCAAACAGATTGCGGTCACAATCGCCCCCGCCCTTCCACCGGCTCCCATCAACATCAAGCACGACCCGTCTTCTAACCCTCCTCCCTTTCCCCCGCCCCCTCCGGCCTGGTTTTACCCAATAGGGTCTTGGCCTCCGGGCTAAAGACGTCAAATGTAGCCAATTGTCGAGGAGCTCTCCGCTAAGGACCCCGCCTCCGCCATGAGGAGCAGTTCCGCTGACCAATAGACTGTCCTTCAGGTGCAATGAAAGCACGGGGCTAGTGGAGCAGCGGCTGAATCGCCCAATGAACAGGCGGTTCCTGTGGTTAGGGGCGTGGCAGAAGCGGTCGTCAGGGGCGTGGCGTCGTTGCTTGGGCGGGGCCGGTAGCGGCGGGAGCTGCACTGGCCAGGGGTTCCGGCTGCATATCCATGAGCGCCGCCGGCAGCCGCGGAGCTGCAGGAACCGGACCCGGGGCGAGTTGGGCAGGTGTAGTCAACCACACTCAGGTAAAGTCACGACCGAGCGAGCTCCGCGTAGCCAGGATCGCTACCCAGACCTGTCGGGCCAAATCCCGGAGCCGCGCGGTCCCCGGCGTGTCTCGACCTATTGCGCCGCAGCCTGAGCGTCCTGGATCCTCGGGGGCCTGTCGTCTGGCACCGCGGAGGTCCTAGGGGCCGGCTTGCCTAGTGGTGGAGGCAGCCTAGACCGTGGTGGGGTATACGCCTTCTTGAAGGCCCTTTGTCCCCTCCTGCCCGAGGAACGGAGGTTGGGGATAGCCTCGACTGTGGCCTCTCTGGCTGCCCTCCCCCCCATCGGTACGCACTCTTGGGGCTCTGGGGTCTGGGGAGGGGTCTGCCGGTCCAGGATTGGTGAAGAAGGTCCGGGATCCGCACCTTAAAGAAGATGGCCGAGGGGCCTGATTACAGCCCCAGATACCTAAGGGGGCTCTGCGTTTCTAGGCTCCAGGGGCTCACCAGGGACATATGGGTTCAAGTTCTAGGGAGGCAGCTTTTGACTCACTTGGAAGCACACTTAGTGAACTCAGCCCCGCGCAGGGCACAGTTCTAGGCGCTTCGTGGACTTTCTCAACTGCGAGAGCTGTCCAGCAGTGCAGGAAGCTGCCTGCCAGGCCAGGAGCCAGTGCCTCGACCTTGGAAATGTCCAAAGAGAGGCTGATGACAGCCACCTGTCAGTGATGCTTAGAAAGGACTCCCAATGGAGGATTGCGTGACCCATCTGTAAGGCCCTCTCCACCCACAGATGCACTCTGGGTGACCTTTAATGCCTAGCTTGAGAAGGATACATCTGGGGGTCCTTTAGGTTCTAACTGGGTGTCGAATTTACCAATGATGAATTTTGAGCTTTCAGCTTCCAAGAGTGGGTGTTAACAAAGAGACTGGATTATACTAAAACACAGAGGTTTATTTGGCCACCACGAAACTCCTTAATTTCAACTGCCATGGACGGCTTGCCTTTCTTAGTCTTCCCAATTTTCCTATTTTGGTTGCTTCACCTTCAGTTTGTCAGTTTTACTTGCATTTCGGTAACCAAATCCAAAGGCAGATTCCAAGAACAGGCTCAGTAGAAGGACTTGGAGAGACTGCAGGTTTGGCAGCATCACTGTGATAACAGCCCAGAGCTTTTTGAGGGTCATTTAGTTACAACTACATTAAGCAGAGTCCAAAAGAGAAATCATGTATAACCCCATCCCCCTTTCACTACCCTCTGTCATTTGCCTTCATAAGGGAGACATAATAATCTTCTAAAGGTCAGGAGGCAGAGAAAGAATCCTAACACAATTTGTTGCCAGTTTTAGGATGAACTAACCTTTCAGTCGCCAGTCAGAAAGCAGACCAGTCCATATACTGCTGATTGTCAGCAAGGACTTGTGACATTTTAAAGCTGAAGGCATCTTAAACGGAGCTCATCTAATTCAGTATCCTGAATGCATAGGTGAGGAAGCTGAGGCCAGGGATGGTTACAGGGCTGGCTAGTCATCACAGAGCCATGATTCAGGGTTGATCTCTTAACATTAGATATAACCAGTGCATGACTTATTTCACTCCAAGCTTATTGCTCTCACTCTCGAGTTTTAAGTTCTAGGGTTGCCCCGAGAGATTAGGAACACAGATTTTGATGCCTAAGTGTCCAGATTTGAATCTTAGTCCTGGTTCTTACTAGCTGTGCAACTTTGGGCAAGTTACTAACCTTTCTGTGTCTTTGTTTCCTCACCTCTGAAACAGGAATAATAATGGTACTTATGTTAGAAGATTGTTTTGAGGAGCACATGAGTTACTACATCTGAAGAATTTAGAATAGTGCTTGGCACACAGTAAGCACTATAGATTTGCTAAATACAACATTCAGTTTCCTTTTTATAGTTTTTCTTCACATCCACCACCCTGATATTTCCTATTAGGAGCTAATTTTTTTCTCCTGCCTACCTTCCACTTCACAATTTATTAAACATATTCCAGATTTAGTTTTAGCATAGATATCTGCAGGGGTCTCCAAGTCACATTGCATTTTATGTCTTATTTTTCTGTCTTTTATTGATTCTGGTAGTTCCCCCTTTGTATTTACACTCTTTTTAGGCTCTAGATCTTTTTTTATTACCTTTAAAAGGAGGTGGGAACCCTCAAACTGGTAAACAAAGTCCCTGATGATACCAGTCTCCTTGATGTCCTTCCAAATATGTATTCCCTCTGTTCAGCCTTCCTCCCCAGTGGTCAGTGTGATTCAGCTTGATTCTAAATGGATGAACATTTTTAGATTAAGATTTCATGAGGCACTCCGCTGTATTAAGTGTTTTTCTGAAGTTCAGGGATCATGTGTCAAATGCATTTAAGTAAGTTACTTAGTCATTCGAGTAGGGGGAGCACCAGCCGTTCCTGGCAGAAACAAGAGTGTGACTGATCCTTGCTGGTAATCTAGCTTGTTCACTGCTTTATCTGTGTTTTTCCAGTTCTTTTCCAGAGCTTGAAATAAACCAGACGGCAGGTACCATGGAATTGTCTTTTCCTCTTGTTTTAGTCGGGGCAGTTCCCTTTCTTCCATTTTTGTTTTCACCTCCAATTCCTTTACACCTTCACAGTTCTGACAAATAACCACTCTCAGTGGGCCACCTAATTCTGTTTTGATGGAAAGATGCCTGTCACCTTTAGTTGTTGCAGAAATCCCGTCACCTTTGATTTTCTCTTCTCTGTTTTTATCTGTTTTCTAGATTGAACCAAAGATGATCGCTATTCATTGAATGGCACCTTCTTTTGCTTTTTGAGTTACTTCTGAGTTTCAGTTTTTTGTTTAGGTTGTTCTATATAGATCAGCTATTTTGTACGAATCGTTTTTGTTCCTTTGCTTGTGTATTAGTATGGGCCCCTTTCTCTCTCTCTTGCTGTCTTTTCTCATAACATTTTGGTGGAAGGGCTTCTCATTTGCTGTTCTTCCTTGCTTCATCCACTGACACCTTCCTCCTGATAATCTCTGGCAGGGCCCACAAACACTAGAGTGGTTTCCACTGCCCTTGCCCAGGGCATGAAGTAGTTTATTTGATTTTATGGGCAGTATAGCTGTCTTATTTTTTGCCTAAGATCTGGCTCTTTGAAAAGCCTTGGCAGAGGAAACACTTCCAATATAATAGAATTCCATATTGCAGAATTTCTGCCATGACCTATGGCTTACAATATTCTGATTTTTATTGCATTGTGGGTTTTGTGTACTCTTTGACCAGTCTAAGAATGTAGATGTCATGGGGTATGAGGTATTTACGCCTTCCTGTTTCATCTGTGGCTAAACTGTCCCTAGGGTCAGAGCAATGAAATTTTAGGGTGCCTCTTGATGTGATCTTGTGTTAGCATTTTATAGCAGCTTTTCGTGGTTCAGCCTTTTTTGGCCAGTGCATGATTAGGTCATGTTTAATCCCATGTGCTGCTGTTTCTGTAATGACACCATAAGGTGCTGTCTTTATCTTCCTTAAGGATCATTTTCATATCTGCAGCGTTATTTTTTGATATCTTATCTAGGGCATCATGTTTTTGGATTGTTTTCTGTTTGTAAAATGACTGATATGGGCAGATGATGAGCCCTACTGTTTTTACCTATGATGCTTGAGCACTGGTGCCAGTTGGGTGAAGGACTTGTTACACACAGACCCATTCTGTGATCTTTTGCAATAGTTAGGTGGCAGACAGGTAAAGATATTTTTAGATAATTGGAACATTGGCCGGGCATGGTGGCTCATGCCTGTAATCCCAGCACTTTGAGAGGCAGAGGTGAGAGTATTGCCTCAGCCCAGGGGTTTGAGACAAGTCTAGGCAACTTGGTGAGACCTTGTCTCTACATTAAATAAAAAAAGTAGCCGGGCATGGTGGCGTGTGTCTGTAGTTCCAGTTACTTGGAACACTGAGTTGAAAGGATCACCTGAGCCCAGCAGGTCGAGGCTGTGGTGACTGTGAGCATGCCTCTGCACTCCAACCTGGGCAACAGAGTGAGACACCAACTCAAAAAAAAAAGATAATTGGAACATCGATGCCTTTGGGTTTGCCTGGTTTCTGATTTTCTTTTCTTTTTTTTTTTTTTTTTTTGAGTTGGAGTCTCACTCTGTCACCTAGACTGGAGTGCAGAGGCATGCTCACAGTCACCACAGCCTCGACCTGCTGGGCTCAGGTGATCCTTTCAACTCAGTGTTCCAAGTAACTGGAACTACAGACACACGCCACCATGCCCGGCTACTTTTTTTATTTAATGTAGAGACAAGGTCTCACCAAGTTGCCTAGACTTGTCTCAAACCCCTGGGCTGAGGCAATACTCTCAC